ACAAACAGAATATTCAGTCTTTAAAACATCAATTTCTTTACTGCTATCCAAAGTGAAAACATATGTGAAAAATCGCTGATTTCATTTGTTGTAAATGACATTAACACCCAATTAACTGGAAAAGAAATAAGCCAACTTAAAATTATACATCTTAGCTTTACTGACTATAAATCTGGTAGTTTCAAAATAATATAAAAAGTTTTCAGAAAGTTATTTGATAGTTATTTATCATAAATCACTAAAAATACTGGTAGAAGGTATGATTTATTTTATCTCCTAGTTTCCATTCCTCTTCTATAAAGCAGGGTGGTGGTTGTCCTAGCACTGTCAAAGTGGGCTGGAGGGGGTCAATGGGGGATAAAAGGGGGGATGTCTGTAATACTTTCAACAATAAAGATAATTTTTTTAAAAAGAATACAGAATATCAATATTATGTGATTCCAATAACACCATAAAATAATCTGAGTAACTTTTTTGGATAATAATAATGTTTTCAAATCTTTATGTAATCGTATTCAGTACAAAACATAAGACACATTTTCCTGCAAGGTCAATCAAATATGCAATTAAAACTTACCCTCACATGTCTTCCTCCCATGGCTGTCAGTGCAAATTCTCCAGGGTCATCATCTCTCCATCAGTTTGTACACTATACAGAAACATTAATACAACATGTATTACAAATGGCTTTAAAATATTAAAAGTTCCAGCCCTGGCCAGTTTGGCTCAGCGGTTAGAGCGTCCACCTGCGGTCCGGAGAGACCCGGGTTCGGTTCCCGCTAAGGGCACGTACCTCGGTTGCAGTTTGTCCCCGGCCCTGGTTGGTCGTGCGGGTGGCAGCCACTCGATGTGTCCCTTTCACATCGATGTTTCCCTCTCTCTCTCTCTTCCTCTCTCTCCCTCCCACTCTATCTGTACAAAAAATGGAAAAATGTCCTCGGGTGAGGATAAAAAATATATATATATATTAAAAGTTCCATTTTACAATTTCTTCCGCTCAGTGATCAGTGTGGTGAATCTCCATTTGATAAAGGTAATGAAGTTTTTTTAATCTTCAAAGTGACTGATTTTGTGGGTTGTGGCAAGAAAAAGAAGTGCAGGGAAGAGCAGGTCATGAAAAAGAAATAGTGCAATCAGCACCAAGAAAGTGCCAGGATAGTATTTAAGAAGATCTAAACAAATTTCCCCTCATTCTGGATTTTCTTTCTAACCTTTTACTATATTTACTCTGATGGCCACTGAGTATGACTCAGCAGAAATGGAAAGAAGGGGACATAAAAACAATCAAATTTTGCCTTTGTAATTTCAAATACCTAGGTTCAAAAAAATAGGAATAATTTTTATTCAGAGTCTAAATGTTTAGGAGAAGTTATCAGTAAATCTAATTTAATACCTTCCCTTCTGCCTTTCTACCTCCTCAAACTGAAAAAAAAAAAAGAAAGAAAAAAAACTTCTCTTCTTTGAGTGAGATTAGTGCTAGAGGAAAGGTGAAGAGTGGGAAAGGTCTGTCAGGGATTGGAAATTAGGATGAAAGAACCAAACCTGGAATGAAAAGATAGGTACAGAGACTAATAGAGACCACCAATCTAATGGGCAATTTAGTTATCTTACTGTTGGTAAATGCTAAAGATTGAAAACAAATTCTTTGTTGGTGAGTCGGCCTTAAGTAAAACCTTCCATTCTAAGTGTAATCAGGCAAAATTTAGAACTAAAGGGAGAACTGAAGGTGGAAGAAGGGAACACATATCTCAGAAACTCAATGCCAGCCGTAGGCTAATACATCTATTATATATGCTCCCAGATGAAGGAAATACAATTTATTTTCATGCACGTGCAGAAATCTACACAAACATGAATAAAAGCAAAAATTAAGTTTCAAGTTTCCTGAAGCTACCATACAAGAGTCACAAACAAAATACATTAAATATTTAAAAACAACAGTGACAAAAACAATGCACACAGCACCCTAACCCAAATATCTAAAAAATTAAATGCATAATTTTGAATAATTTGTAGGTAAAAGTGGAACTCAAATGAAAATTACAATTAAAAACCCAAAACATAATGAACCACACTACATTTCAGACCTGAGTGTTTCAGCAAAGCATTGATAAAAGGGAGATGTGTAACCTCAACTGCATTTACTAGAACATTAGAAGGCCTGAAAATAAATGAATTAATATTTCATTGCAAGAAGATAGAAAAAGAACAAGAAAATAAACCACTCTAAATAGAAGAAAATAATGATAAATGAACAAAATTATGAAGCTAAAAAGCACTACAGATTTAATCAAGAGATAGATATTTTTTATAAGAATAATAAAGAGAAAACTGTGTCTAGTGTGATTTTATTTTTAAAGAAAAGGAAGTTATGAATAAACATCATCAGTTATGAAAAGTGTGTAACTAATTATTAAGTAATCTATTACTTAAAATTGAAAAGCATATGATCCAGCAATCCCATTTCTGGATATATATCCAAAAGACATGAAATCTGTATCTTGAAGAGATTTCTGCACTGCCACGTTCATTGCAACACTATTCACAATAGCCAACATATCGACACAACCTAAATGTCCTCCAACAGATGAATAGATAAAATAAATGTGTTTTTTTTTTTCTTTTAATACATAAAATGGAATATTATCTGGCCATAAAAAAAGGAAATACTGACTTGGACGGTGTGTCTTGGTTGGAGTGTCCACCTACAGACCAAAAGGTCTTGGGTTCTATTTCCGGTCAGGGCACATACCTGTGTTGTGGTTTTGATCCCTGGTTAGGGTGCATAGGAGAGGCAACTGATCATCGTTTCTCTCTCACACTGATGTTTTCCTATCACGTCGATGTTTCTCTCTCTTTCCCTTTCCCTTTCCTTTCCTCTCTCTCTAAAATCAATTTAAAAAAATACCCTCAGGTGAGGATTAATAAGAAAAAAAGAGGAAATGCTGCCATGTGCAACAATATGGATAAACCTGGAGGATCTTATGATAAAAGATAGAAGCCAGGCACAGAAATACAAATACTGTGTGTGCCCACTCATATGTGGAATGTAGGGGGAAAAAAGCAAACTCATAGAAACAGACAGCAGAATGGTACTTGCCAGGGGCTAGAAAATGGAGGAAATAGGAAGATATGAGTCAAAGGGTCAAAAACTCAGTTATTAGATTAACAAGTTCTTGAGATCAAATGTACAGCATAGTACTATACTTAATATCACTGTATTGTATACATGAAATTTTCTAACATAGTAAATTTTACACATTCTCACCCCACACACACAAATATAGGTAACTACGTAAGGTGATGAATGTGTTAACTTGATTGTGGGAGTCCTTTCACTATATATACAGAATGGGGCAAAAGTAGGTTTACAGTTTTGAGTCCACAAAACAGAATTTATTCTTGTATTATTATTTATTAATTATTGTATTATTTTTCCATGCAAACAACTATAAACCTACTTTTGCCCTACCCTGTATATGTATGTATATATATATGTTCACTGTATTATAAACTTTGAATATATATAATTTGATATGTCAATTATACCTCAATAAAGCTGGAATAAAGGTAATAATAATATAATACAGTGATCAATGTTGTAGAAATAAATATAAAATATCTAGGTAATATGAAAAAAATCTAGGGGAACTACAACACAGCAAAGTGGCCATCAAGAAGAAAATCATAAAATCAAAGAAAGAGTAGTTAAATTTCTTCAACCACAAAGATATCAAACTTACTAAACTTCTTCTTAAAAAGTTCATTTCAACTGTGTAAAAACTATTCCAACATATAGAACAGAGAAAAGACAATTCCTAATTTTCCAAGGTTAGCAAAGACTGTGAAACCCCATGTCAGAAAAGTACAATAAAGTAAAAACATATATTAATCATATTTACAAATACAGAGACAAAAATTCTAAATAGAGTATCAACAAACTATAATCGACACGTTGTTATAACAATGACATCATAACCAAGGGTTTAATCTCAAAATTGCAAGGATAGCACAATTTAAGAAAATTTACAACACAGCTAATTCACTAAAATAATATATCTAAATGAAAAAAATAGATAATCAATTGACTGAATATATGTCAATATACCATTTGAAGATATTCAGCAATCATTCATAATTTTTAAAAAATCTTGGCAAAAAACTTCCATAAATATAACACCAGATACTTATAGCAAATACATGTGCAATATAAGATGCAAAGTCTAGAATAATTTATATTAAATTCAGAAATAAAAAAGTCACCTCTTATCACCACTTCTGAACAACATAGTCCTAAAGTTTCTAGCCACTGCAATAAGATGAGAGAAAAGAAAAAAAGTGGAGAATGGACGTAAAGATTGGAAAGTATGAAATGAAGTATGATTTGCAGCGGACATGATCATTTCGATAACCAATCCATGATAATCACCAACAAACAATTAAAACTACAAAGAGAATTTAACAGCGCCTAAACACATGATCAACACGGGAAAACATTAATAACTACCCCGTAAAGCAACGACAAAGAAAATACAAAAGCTAATTCATAATTCCAAGACTTATTATTAAGTGCAGGTGCAATTGAAAACAGGACTATGAAATTTGGAATGGGTACGTTTGGATGGATTTGAATGAAGCTGAGAATGATGAACTTAGAAATTGCCTCGTGGTCTTCTCCAAGCGCAGCCTTCCTGAGTGTAAAGGGAGGCCGCCCAGCGCTACAGCTTTACGACAGTGCCACGTGGAACTTCCGGTCTTGCGCACTAGCAACTTCCTTTTTGGATTCTATTCGGAGCGCTGAGCTGAGGCTTCCACGAGGCTCTTTCTCTTCTGGTTCTTCCACACCGAGCAGAGGACAGTTTCGAGGTTGAGACCTACCTCCGTGCTTTCCCAGGCTCTGGGTTCACGTAAGTGAGACTCCGTGTCCCTGAGTGGTGCAGACGACCTCGAGTTTGCTGGCGCCCACGAGGCTCGCCCGCCCAGGGCCTTGAGCTAGAGCAATGGCGGAGGCTGCCGGGCGGAGGGTCCCCGCCCAGACTTCTCTGACTTTCAAGGATGTGTGTGTTTCCTTTACCCTAGAGGAGTGGGACTTACTTGATGAAGACCAGATATTCCTGTACTATTCTGTGACACTGGAGAACTTTCTAATGGCGACCTCAGTAAGGCTTGCAATTTGTGGACACTCTGTACATACGCAGCCTGAGCCACTGAGACAGCCCAGTGTTCCTGACAAGGTAGATCTAGGTCCAGCCAAAACAAAGATGATACAAGGGAGCTCTGGCCCTGGATGTGGGAATACAGTAGGGGATGAAAATGCATCTTCTGCGAGGGTTGTGCCTGTTACAGTGTCACAGGTGAGCACTCTCAATGTGGGTCTGCCCATGCAAACGTGTGAAACGTGTGACCTGATCTTGAAAGGCATTTTGCATCTGCTTGGGCAGCAGGGTATACTCCCTGGGCAGCCGTCATACCCATGTAAGTCGTGTGGGAGAACCTTCAGTATAATCCTTGACCAAATCCCACAGCAGCAGAATGGAGAGACATCTGGTAGAATGAAAAAGGGCCAGAACAAGTTTTTTAAGAGCAGCGGAAGCCACACGTCAGAGAATGCCCTCACTGATAGGAAGGATGGGGTAGAGGTCTCTGCCAGCTCTGGACTTGGCCAACACCATGTCACTAACAATGGGCAGAAGCCATACTGGAGCACTAAGCGTGAGGCTTCTCACACCCATCAAAGAGGTTACAGGTGCAGTGAATGTGGGCAAATTTTTAGCCACAAAGACACATGTAGTCAGAACCCGAATAGCCAGATGGGAAAAGAGTCTTATCAGTGCAACCAATGTGGCAAATTGTTTAGCAACCACTCCGACTTTATGTTACACAAAAAATCTCACAACAAAGCAATATGTTATCAGTGCACTGAGTGTGGGAAATATTTTAAGCTCCACACCAGCCTCGAAGTACACCTGAAAAATCACCAGAAAATATTAAAGTCTTATGAGTGTACGGAATGTGGGAAAGTCTTTCGTAGACGTTACTACTTTCTTGAGCACCTGAACATTCACACTGGAGAAAAACCTTATAAATGCAGTGAATGTCAGGAAATCTTTCCCTGCAAAAAAACACTTACTCAGCACCAGAAAATTCACAATGAAATAAAGCCTTATTCTTGTGACAGATGTGGGAAAGCCTTTTCCCGTAAATCTGTACTTCAAGAACACCAGAGAATCCACACTGGAGAAAAGATTTATGAGTGTGATGAATGTGGGAAATGCTTAAGGTACAGAACCTCCCTTAAAACACATAAGAAACTTCACAGTGGAATCAGGCCTTATGAGTGCAATGAATGTGGGAAAACCTACATCACTAGAGCCCACCTTATTCACCACAAGAAAGTTCACACCAAAGCAAGGCCTGGGGGTGAAGAGAATGTTGGAAATTCTTTGGTGGCAACTTCAGCCTCATTATCCACCACAGACAAAACACTGGATCAAGGTCTTATGTGTTCAGCAAGTGTGGGAGAGTCTACAGAAGACGCTCCCACCTTGCGTGCATGAAGAGTTCAAATCAAAGAAAGGCCTCATGAGTGTAATTGTTTCGGTGATCCTTCAGCTCCACCTTTTAAGTTCATTCAGTACCGGAACCTTCACACTCGAGAGAGGCCCTAAGAGCTGGGAGCGTGCTTTCTCCTTGCTCAATATAGCATGACTCTGAACAGTAGCTTTTGAGATGAAGTTAACTAGAAGTTGAACTTTGTACATCCAGGTATTAACACTGCAGAGATAACTACAAGTGCCAAATGTGTGGGAAGCTTTCAGGAGCTGCTTTGCGTTTTCTAACCTTCCTGGGACCTTTCCTTGGCCTGAGTTATGTTATTGCCAGTGTTTGTTGCTGAAACCATCCTCCTTCTACCAGCAGTCAGGACCCCACACTGTGTGTCAGTCACTCCAGTGTACTCAAAAGACCTCTACTATCCCTCCTGTTACCTGGAGAGAATCATGAGTGATCTGAACCCACTGGGGTTCCTCATTCCCTCCCCCTGATGGTTTCAGTATGGACATAACCCAGCTCCTGCCAAAAAGAAGAGCTGGGATTTGCCACACTTTTCCAGAGGTTTCTGTTTTCTGTAGATAGTATTATTGACTGTGCATGAGATAGTCTCCAAATCACCCAACCTTGGAACTGCTTACCTCACACTGATCTGATTTGTGCAGTGAAAAAGACTTACTGTTAAAGCTTTCATTGTGATCTGTTCCCTGTGTGGGGTTGATTGAGAAAAGAAATGGGCTTTTGGGAAACAGGCCATCACTCACTGAGTTCATTTCTTCCCTTCACACCTACAAGGGTGTTGATTGCTTTCCACAGTTAGGAAGGAAATTAGGACTGTGGGCAAAGTTAAATATCTAGAAGAAGTGTGCTGTCCAATAGGGTCAGCACTAGCCACATATGAATATTGAGCACTTGAAATGTAGCTAGTCTGGGCTGAAATATGCTATAAGTATAAAATGCATACTGGATTCCCAGGACATTATTTTTTTAAAGGAGATTTAAACATCTCCTTATAATCTTTATATTGACTGTATGTTAGAATGATAAGATTTTGTATATATTAGGTTAAATAAAATGTTGTTAAAGGTAAAAATAAAATAAATGGGCTTTGCCAGCAGAAGGTAGTAACCCTTTTGTGGAGGCCCCAAACTTGTGTGCCTCAGAAAAAATTATTAGGATGGCTGAGAACAGCTCTCCATCTAATTTGGCCTAATTGGTAGTGCTGGCTAAGCACTCTTAGGAAAAACTTTCCGGCCTTGTGGGACTGATCTTACAGCTGATATGTCAGGTTCTCCTTTGAGACCTATGCTCACCCTGTTAAGGGGGTAATTGATATGACAGCCACCAGTGCTTCTGCAAACAGCATGAGTTAAGTCTCTTTTTCCCAGGGGATATCTCACATTCCCTAACACTGTTGAAGTGTAGCTGTCTCCCAAGACCTACCAGAAGTCATGACCCTTGTGATGTCTAAATCTGGTAGGCAGATAATGTAACAGTAGGAAATTGTAACCTACCTCACCATTTTTTTTCACACTGTTCCGTAAATGCCAACTCTGACTAATACGTAGTTTGTATATAAACAACAAGTTTGTGTAAGAATCCAAGGAAATAACTTCAGAAGATGCAAACTCCAACCTTCAGTCGTCCCAGTTCTGGAAAACATGCTGACCTTCAACTGTGGAACCAGGATGATGAACCAGGATGACACACACCAGACCATCACTTGATGAGTTTCAAGATCCTTATCGGAATGGACTGTGCTGGACTGCAGAGAGAGAACTTTTCAACCCCCTCCCCTTGATTTCTTTGTTCTGCTTTCTCTCTCCCGCCTTATAAAAACCTCTGCCTGCACTGAGATGGGGAGATGCGCATCGTGAAAAAGTGCCCGGCACTTGAGAAAAACTCTTTTCTTTTTCTTTTCTTTTTTAATTTATTTTCTTTATTGATTTAGAGAGAGGGGAAGTGAAAGGGAGAGAGAGAGAGAAACATCGATGAGAGAGAACATAGAATGGCCGCCTTCCACATGCCCCCCATTGGGGGTCAGGCCCACAATCTGGGCATGTGCCCTGGCTGGGAATCGAACCGGTGACCTCTTAATGCATGGGTCGATGCTCAACCACTGAGCCACACTGGCTGGACATCTATTTTCTTTTTCACTAGCATCTGTCTCACAAGTTTGGAATTTGTGGTGGCTGGCAGCCGAACTTCTATTCCAGTTACAGTTCTGATGAGCCAGCCAAGAGGTCGTGGGAGCCCCCCTCGGTAAGTCCCTGGACTGTGGAGTGGGTTCTCCAGGCTGCTTGTGGCTGACTGACCCTGATGGGAGAATTTTGGAGTACCTAGCAGTTATGGAATGATTTTACTCCAGGACGGTCCAACACTCTTTCTTGGCACTGGTCACCTGCTATACCCAGCTAGAGGGGGGAATCAGGTTGTTGGTTGGTGAGCTGACAGCCCAAGCTGGGTAATGCCTCTGGTGTGCATGACCAGGAACTCCTGTCCTTCCACTGGGCTTCTTTGAAGTATTTGGGATTTCATAGGAATTAATAGGTGCCACAGGGCAGTAGGCACGATTCAGTGACTAAGAAAAATCCCAGTTCCCTAATGTGGGATTTGGTTGGAGTTCTCTTCTGATTTTGGTATGTGAATTTTGGGGTGCTGCTTGCTTTTCTTGTTGCCTACATTTTGTGGGGCATCTTAATAGCTGTGTTTGAAATTTGGAATATTTTTGCTGGGATTTCGTTTGAGACTACTTGTGTGTTTGAACTTTTTTCTTTTCTTTCGATTTTATTTTTATCCTTACCCGAGGATATTTTCCCATTTTTTGTTCAGATAGAGTGGGAGGGAGAGAGAGGAAGAAAGAGAGAGGGAGAGAAATATCGACGTGAAATGGACACATCGAGTGGCCGCTACACGCACGACCAACCAGGACCGGGGACAAAGTGCAACCGAGGTATGTGCCCTTAAGGGAACCAAACCTCGGTCTCTCTGGACCGCATGCTGACGCTCTAACTGCTGATCCAAATTGGCCGGGGCCTGATGTTGTTTTTGTTTCTGTTTTGAAATAGGTGGCTTTGTCTCAGTTCCCTCAGAGAGTCCATTACGTTGCAATTTAACTGACTGGTATGTATAAGCTTTCATGTTGTTACATCATAAAAGTTCAACTCAGAAAGCTCTAAATTGATGGTTCAAAGAGGGGGAAAATGTCTCACTCACCTCCCAGACATTAAAACTCAAAAAGGAAAATGTGAGGAAATAAGTCTTTAAATATTCTAAACTCTTCTACTGGAGGCCCAGGAACCAGTGCAGTCCCAGGAACAATGGGGAAATTAGTACCACCCCAAAACCCTGTGCAGGTTGTGGAAGCTGCAGGGGCTATTGCCCCACCTCAGTGTGAAGGGGAGGAAAGGTACCTTTACAGTCAATCTATAGGGCCTGATATCTTCCCGCCACTTCTCCAGCCTGCTTCAAAGCCAAGGACACTGGATGAATAAACAATTCACTTTTTTTTTTTTTTAATCCTCACCAGAGAACATTTTTGCATTTACCTTCAGATACAGTGTGAGGGAGAGAGGAGGAAGAGAGAGAGAGACAAACATGAATGTGAGAGAGACACATCAAGTCCTGGCCGGTTTGGCACAGCGGTCCAGAGAGAGACACATTGAGTGGTTGCCACTCACAAGACCCTGTCCAGGGCCAGGGACAAACTGCAACCAAGGTATGTGTGCCCTAAGCGGGAACCGAACCTGGGTCTCTCTGGTCCGCGGGCTGACGCTCCAACCGCTGAGCCAAACCAGGCAGGCCTTAAACAGTTCACTGTTGAGCACACTAAAGGATTACAGTAATTACCAAGAATCCAAATGCCTAATTTAAGTTTAATTGGTGTCTTTTAAAGTTATTTAAAACGTTTGTTCTTGCCTAGGTTTACAAAAAGGATTTATGTTATCTCTGTTATACCCCTTAAAAATAGAAGCGTATTTGCCAATGGAAAAACTTGTTTCTGGAAGGTATGCTTTGTATTCATAAATTTGCCAATCTAAAGAATACTGATTGCTTACTGTTAGTTGTCACTAAAAATAAGGATTTCTAAGAATGTAGGATTCTAATTAAATTTGGGGAAAGTATGTGGTTTTGATGATACAGAATTGAAAGTAGGTTGTTCTAAAGGGGATTATTTCTGAATGAGTTAAAAAGCAAACTAAGAGGGTCTAGGAAAGTCACAGAAGGATTGTGTAAGTCGTAGAGGATCAGTGCAAGGTGTGGGAGGATTGTGTAGAGGAAAGAAGCAAAAAGAGAAAGAATGGAGGAAGAGGAAAGGTAAAAAGGATAAAAAAAGGGACTTACGTATTACAGGAAGACAGGACATTGGAGGAGGAATACTCAAGAAGGCATGGAAATGGGAAAAAGATAAGAAAGGTACATAAACAGATAGCAAAGTAGAGTGATAATTTTTTTTTTTTTATCCTCACCTGAGGACTTTTTCCCAATTTCTTGTTTAGATAGAGAGGAAGAGAGAGAGAGAGAGAAACATCGACGTGAAATGGACACATCGAGTGGCCGCCACACACATGACCAACCAGGGCCGGGGACAAACTGCAACCGAGGTACGTGCCCTTAGCGGGAACCAAACACGGGTCTCTCTGGACCGCAGGCTGACACTAACCGCTGAGCCAAATCGGCCGGGGCCTGATGTTGTTCTTGTTTCTGTTTTGAAATAGGTGGCTTTGTCTCAGTTCCCTCAGAGAGTCCATTACGTTGCATTTTAACTGACTGGTATGTATAAGTTTTCATGTTGTTACATCATAAAAGTTCAACTCAGAAAGATCAAATTGATGGTCCAAAGAGGGGGAAAATGTCTCACTCACCTCCCAGACATTAAAACTCAAAAAGGAAAATGTGAGGAAATAAGTCTTTAAATATTCTAAACTCTTCTACTGGAGGCCCAGGAACCAGTGCAGTCCCAGGAACAATGGGGCAATTAGTACCATCCCAAAACCCTGTGCAGGCT